TGATGTTGTGGGGAAGAATCTTTTAGGGAAGATGTTTTTGGCATCAGAACTCAGGAAGAGAGGTCCAGAGGGATACAGTGATGGAGAATCAAGCTTGAAGGAGGGGACTGAATTCTGGTCCTCCAACCAAACATTTCTTTCCCAAGCCATCTGGACAGACCTGGAAGGGACTGGGAAGCAGTGGAATTAACCTAAGAGCCACAACTGAGGGTTCTGCTCCCCTTCTTCACTATCCCTCCCCAAGCCCAGCTCTCACAGGGATAAGAATGCAACAGGTGAACAGGCAGATGTGATGGTCTGGGAGTCAGGAAACCTGGGTCAGGATCTTCACTCTGCCAATTTGTCCCTATGTGATCTCCAGAAAATCCATTCCTGAGAGGCTAGTGTAATAGCATCAGTCCCATTTTGGGAGTGATTGCATAGGGACCATCTTTATCAGGGTTAGACTGTGGTCAATAACTAAACAGGCTTTTTATTCTGTGGTCTGAATAACTGAATGGCTTACATATCTGAATATTACCATAGGTTTTGCATGTATGTAATTAATAACGCTCATTTATTTATTGAAATTCTTAGTGGCTTTTAGTCATCATGTACTTTCTCAATCAATGATCAGACCTGGCTTTCTAGCTGTTCCCCTTGCCTGTGTAGTACCTGGAGCACCTCCCTCTCATTAGAAATATACATTAAGTTCAAGGTAGTTTGTGAGACCTCTTCTACTCAAAAGTAGAGCTTGAGCCCCCATCCATATGCTTGTGTTTACTAGTCAAAGGATACAGTTCAAATGATGGATATTTAATGGAAAAGCACATATAAAAGGCAGCAAGGAAACGTTCCCCCAGTGAACGGGGAAATTTTTTTTTGTTCCACAAAATAGACACATCACCAGTGGGAAGAGCAGACAAACTTAGGGAGTGTATCCATTCACGTGAAGCAGCATATAAGTAGGGAATGCTTGTGACCAGGGCACGTGTACGGAAGGGTCACTCACTGGACCCCAGTGACCTCACATGGAGGGTGGCCTCTAATGGGCGTGTGGGTATGATGTGTAATCTCTATCAGGTATTGCCACTTGCTGGTCTCTTGTGGTTGCTCCTGGAGCGTGCCCTCGTGTCTCATGGCTACCATGGCCACCATTCTGCTTTCTGCTACCAGCTTTATCTGGTCAGAGGGTCTACTGCACATGTTGGCTCCTCCGTACTAGGGTGCAGTGGCTAGAAAGTCCCTCCCTGTTGGAGCATGTTGGCAGATCTTCAGCTGCAGTCAGAGCTGAGAGCCACTATCCATCCCGCTAAAGACCACAAACCAGAATGCTTCCAGATTAAGACTGAGTCTGACTTTTAAACTTTCTCAATTTGGGGCTAGGTGACAGCACTTTGCCCTAGACAACTGTTTGAGTTAGGACTAGAAACCTCCAAGGTCCCTTGATGTCTCATAAAAATGAAAAGGAGCAGGGAAAGAAAGGACAAAAACTCTACCGAGGCGTGGCTTCCCACCTAGTCCTTGATTCCCATCTTGATTATGAATGCTGGGAGATAAAGAAGTTTAATTGACCGAAATACAGCATTAAAGCTGGGGGGGGATGGGAGCTGTGGCTTGACCCTTCCTGTTTTTTGTCCCACTTGATATGATTAATCAGAGGGTTGGTGAAGTTTTTTCTGTTACATCTTTCAAGGAATATTGTATGATTCTTTTTTTTTTTTTTTGCTATTTTTGGTGAGGCAATCAGGGTTAAATGATTTGCCCAGGGTCACACAGCTAGTAAGTGTCATGTGTGTGAGGCCAGATTTGAACTCAGGTCCTCCTGACTCCCAGGCCAGAGCTCTATCCACTTTGCCACCTAGCTGCCCCCTCATGGGAAATCCCTTATTGGAAGACAGCTTTTAAAGGTAGAATAAAGCCATGTATTCAGGTCACGTGTGTGATCTTTAAATTGTATTCTGTTCATTTGCGTTTCAAGTCAGAGAGAAGCTTCAGAATTTGTTACCCTAAGTCAGATAGTTGTGTGGATCAAAAGACTTATCCTAGACAGAGGGGTTAAAATACAAGATTGGATAATGTTTGGTTAATTAATGCTTAATTAAGCAATTTAAACTCAATTAAACTTCTTTATCTTCCAACCTTTGCCTTGGCACGGGGCTTGGTGTTTGCTAACTGGGTGTTGTGGCTTAAAGCCTCTAAGATTAAATGGTTGTCAGCCTTCCTTTATTAGGTAGAGGCTTTCTAGTCACCACATACAAGCTGATTGGAGCTGAGATGGCTCAGTTTATCAGATGGGCCTGAATAGGTAAAGCCCAGAAACTGGTTGAAAGTAATGGCCAGCAGAGACCATGAGACCAGTGAAAACACACACTAGCATTGTCCTAACATCCTTTCCCCACAGAAATGCAAGAAGCTCAAGAGAGGGAAAGAAAGGAAGAGTAGTAAAGACACTCCAAGATGCCTAGGTACAGGCTCAGCAAAGGGGAAGGCCAGAGAGAGAGAAGCATGATTATATCATGAGAACACATTTGTGACCTGAAGTAGCTTTACTTTCAAGTGGATTGAGATGCACAGGGTACCCTGAACCTGGCTGAAGCTTTCTGGGGATCCCTGTGTTTGACAAGGGGTACCCAAGGTACTACATGTATATGGGGCAAGACTCCAAGGTTTGATATGTCCTGTACTTGGGGTGCCTTCTCTCCCCTCATACAGTCCTTGGTGCCAATCAGAACTCCTCCAGGAGGTCTTTCCTGACCCTTTCTCCTGCTCAAATTATCTTATATTTACTTACCTGTGTACATGCTGTGTTCCTGCTAGAACTTGAACTCTCTTAATACAAAGTTTATTTTTTTTTGTCTTTGTAGCACCAATGTCCAGCACAAAGGGGTGTGTGTGTGTGTGTGTGTGTGTGTGTGTGTGTGTACGTGTGTGGGAGAGAAAGAGAGAGAGGGAGAGAGAGGGAGAGAGAGAGAGAGAGAGAGAGAGAGAGAGAGAGAGAGAGAGAGAGAGAGAGAGAGAGAGAGAGAGAAACCAGCTCTATCAACTTTCCATCTAACTGCACATCATAATCTGGACAAAAGTGTTTTCATCCACTTGGTCCTTCCTGTGTGGATAGTTACATTAAACTCTTCTGTATTACTAGAGATCTCATTTAGAAGGTTCTGTAATATTCTAGGGCTTGATACAGCCAATGCAATATCTTCTGCAAATGAGTATCTGGAGGATCTCATCTTTATATGGGAAATCTCTTTCAATTGGACTCTTTGGGACAGCCTTGATCATTGAGGCACATACCCTCCTGTTTTATGTCCCACTTGACATGATTAATCAGAGGCTGGTGAAGTTTTTTCTGTTATGTCTTTCAAGTGATATTGTATGATTCTTAAATATGCATGGGAGATCCCTTACTGGAAGACAGCCTTTAAAGGTAGAATTTTGCTTTAGAAAATCAAATGATTTTTTGTCAACAGTGGAATATTGTAGTTGTAATAACTTTAAATCAATTGTGAAACTATAAAGATGTGTTTTCTGTTCCCTTCTAATACCTCCATCAAAAATGCCTCGCATAATTTCTTTGTAGGGTAGCAATAAGGTCAGATTTTTCCCCGAATCTTTTGTATTCTCCCCTCTTGCAGATATTTTGAGGATAATCACTCAATGCTCTCAAAATTGTGTCACTCTCACAATGGACCACCTCCTCCTTGTACACTTGGCATCTACGTATGTGTGTATGTGTGTATATATACACACAGATATATACATACACACATGTATATACATATTTATATATATACACATAAACCATACATAAACCAATATGTACACTGTGTATATATGTACATAACCATATGTATACTCATATACACATATAATATATGTATATACACATACATGTTGCTTGTCCTTCATTTTCAAAGAGGACCAATGACATCGTAGGGTGATCGACTTGAGTATGAATTGGATTTCAGTGAGGCAGAGCTGCACAAAGTTGTCAGCCTCACTCGATGTCTGTGGCGTCTAACAAGTTGTGGCCGCCTCGTGGTTGTTGGAACAAATTATTGTCATCTGCCCTGCCCCTGGGGGAAGTCATCACATGCTTGGGGTAGACACCCCCTAACTCAGCAATGAGTTTGTGTCCTGTTGGCTACCCTCAGCCTGGTTTGGCTCATTTGCTGAGAAGGTTTTTACCGAGATAAAATTGCTGTGCATGGAGTCACAGGTGAGAGTTGAGCGCTAGGCGGACACCAAAGGTGTATAAGCAGCCTTGAAAAGGACTTGGCAGCTCTCACACCAGAGATGCTAGTCCTCCTTGAACCCATACACCCTATTCACATGAGTATATAGGAGTATATGCTTATATACATACTCACATGATATACACGTGTGTATGTGTGTGTGTGTGTATATATATATGTACATACACACATATACACATGTACGTGGGTATGTGAGGCAGCTGGTGGCACAGAATAGCACAGTGGGTCTGGAGTCAGACCTGAGTTCAAATCTGGCCTCAGGTACTTACTAACTATGTGACCCTGGGCAAGTCACCTGATCTCCCTGGGCCTCAGTTTCCTCATCTGTAAAATAGAGATAATAACAGCACCTACAGGTTTGTTGTGAGGATTCAATGAGATACTATTTGTAAAATGCCTGGCATTATGGCTCTATGTAAATGTTTATTCCCTTCCCCACCTCCCCAGTGATCCAATCCAGCTGCTCTTCCTATCATTGCTTCACGTAATTGTTATTTCCTCATTCAGTACATGCAGAATGGGGAAAGAAGATTCCCATTTGTGGTGACGAGTTTGTTATACAAGTCTGCATAGATCTTTTCCATTTTTCATTTATTGGCTGTCTTCCATCCCATTCATCCTTAAATGCCATTGGGATTTCAAATGAGCCTATGTCTTAAATTGGTGGTATTCTTGGCCACCAGATCTTTTCACTTGGATCAAGTGTTTGCTGACCAAGTTGAGTTTTAGGTTCTTTTGGTTCCAGGGTGGTGCATGACTTACTCATTTAACTTCCTTAGGAAATGGTGACAGCCAGTGTCAATGTCTCTCCTTTTATCCAGTTCACATTTTTCATCTTCAATGGCTTTTTGCCATTCAGTTGCCTCAATTGCATATATCTTTTCATTTTGCTTTTTTCTATTAGTTCTGTCTTAATTTTGACCTCTGATTTAACAAATTGGCAGTCTAATTGTTGTGTGCATACAGCTGATTTGGATACAACTGCACATTAGCAACCAATCATTTACTGTCTATTACAATATAACTAGCTTCATGTTTTGAGATGTTGTTTGGTGTTTGCCACACCCAGTGCTTCCTGGTCCATTTCTTGAAGAAAGTATTCATGTTTCTACATCTGTAAAAAAAAAAATATGAGGAGGTTGGAATAGAGGATGTCTCACATTTTCTCCAACTATAAATCTATGATTGTCAGATTCTACATATAGGCACAAGGCTTCTGTGTGATCTACAAGTTTGTGGTCTCTCTAGTTTCTTATTCAGAGCCATATTTGCCACCATATTTTTCGCAGTCTTTTCCTATGCCCAACTTTGATGTCATAGATTGTTAAAATCAATTTTGACTTAGTTTGGATGGTCATATTGAGTTCTTTATGGAATTTCTTCACTGTCTTGTCCTCTGTAACAGATGCTGATGCACAAATTGTGATTATTTTTATCTTAACTCTTCCTGTAAATACTTACATGAGCACTAAAATACAAGATGACCAAACATCCCATAAATTGACATTTTCTTTCATTCTGGATACATGAGAAAACCAATATTTTCAATTCCTTATTGTTTTTTTTCTTTTCAAGGAAAAACAATGAGCTATTATTTAGCCGAAACTTCCTTCTGATTTCATTTATAATGAGAATGATAAGATGGGTACAATTGAGTTCTTCTAGCAGTCTATCTTGTCACTGGACAAAAGTCTTGCATTTAGAGTATTACCAGATGAGTTAACATTTATGGACCATCTCAAATAGTGATTCTTAACACCTTCTTGCCTCTTTCCCAGTACACTGCCCCATCTCCACCTTTAAGCTGCTGTAAACCCCACCCACAAACTTGGGATCAGGGGCTACGAGCAGGATGGGACTTCAGGGATTATCTAGTAGTCCAACTCTCTCATCTTACTTCCAATCAAGCACCTGCTCTAGAATCTTCTCCTGCCTCACGGCCAGGACCTCCCAGGACTGTCTGTCTCCTCTAGGACTGACCATCCCTCATCTGGCCATCCAGCTGCAGGCTCTTCTTTATCAAATGCACACTTTCCTAATGCAGAGCTTTTCCCAGGCTACTTTCCCTTTGATCTCAAGCCTTCCATCTCCTGTCATGTCATTTCTTGCTTAATCTCTAGCCTTTGGAGGGAAGAGTAGTGAAATGGGAACTCCTATCTGACTGTGTGCCTTCTATCGCATTCTACAATTTGTCTCCAGTCTGTTCTCCAACTTCTTCTGAGGAGTGGCACCTTCTACTCAATGATGGACATTCTATTCCCCATTTCTCTCAATCCAATTCCTTATTCCCACGCCAAAGTTCTAACCAGATGTCACCCATCCCTTCCACTATACTCTCTGGAATGCCTATTCCATAGGCAACAAGCTTCCCTTCATCTTAAGTCTTTCCCTCTCTCATTCCTTCCATCTTCTGGCTATTACTATAACCTGACTCCCCGCTGATGGCACAGCCTCCCTGGCCACCCTTTCCAATACTTGCATCTTCACTAATTCCCCTTGGCTCACTGGTTGAGGTGGGGGAGTTGGAATACTCCTTGCTCCTGACTGCCACTTCTGGGTTCTCCCTCTACCTCCATCACTAAGTAACCTCTTCTCTGAGGCTCGTGCAATTCAAATTTATCACCCCATCAATATCCCGGTAGCCTTTGTCTATAGACCTTCAGGTTACTCCATTTCCTTTCTCAATGAATTCTGTACCTGGCTGCCTTCACTCTTACACATATGCTTCTTGCCCTCTCTACAGCCTCTGACACTATTGATCACCCTTTCCTCCTTGATACTCTTTCCTCTCTAGGTTTTAGGGTCACCATTCTCTCTTGGTTCTCCTAACCATGTGACTGATCTTTCTGTTTCTTTTGCTGGATTCTCCTCCATATCGCACCCTCTAACCATAGGCGTCCCTCAGGGTCCTGTCCTGGGCCTTCTCTCTACATACTACTGTATTTGGTGATCTTATCAACTTCCATGGATTAAATTATCTCTATGCAGATGATACTTAAATTTACCTCTCCTCCCCTAACCTCTCTGTTGACTTCTAGCCTTGCATCTCCAATTGCCTTTCAGACATCTCAAATTGGAATGTTTGGTTAGACATCTTAAATTCAACATGTCCAAAATGGAACTCATTTTCTTTTCCCCTAAGCCCTCTCCCCTCCAAACTTCTCTATTACTATTGAGGGCACCACCATCCTCCCAGTCCTTCAGCCTCACAACCTAGGAGTCATCCTGGATTCCTCACTCTCTCAATCCCACCCCTCCACCCCCATGTCTGAGCTGTTGCCAAGGCCCGTCAATTTCACCTTCGCAGCATCTCTCAAATATGCCCCCTTCTCTCCTCTGACACTGCCCCGACTCCAGTGCAGACCCTCATCACCTCACACCTGGACCACTGCACTAGGCTGCTGGTTGGTCTACGTGCCTTGTCTCTCCTCACTCCAGTCTATTTTCCACACAGCTGTAAAAGTGATATTCTTTTTTTTTTTTTTTTTGGCAATTGGGGTTAAGTGACTTGCCCAGGGTCACACAGCTAGTAAGTGTCAAGTGTTTGATCTGAGGCTGGATTTGAACTCAGGTCCTCCTGACTTCAGGGCTGGTGTTCTATCCACTGTACCACCTAGCTGCCCCTTAAAAGTGATATTCTTAAAGGACACGTCACCCCCATACTCAGTAAACTCCAGCGGCTCTGTCTCGCCTCTAGGATCAAATACAAAATCCTTTGCTTGGTGTTCAAAGCCCTCTGTAACCTAACCCTGCCCTCCTACCCCACCCCCACCTTTCCAGTCTTCTTCCATTCTTCAATCTCCTTTGCTCTAAGGACACTAGTCCCCGTAGTGTTCCACAAACGAGACAGACGCTCCATCTCTGGGCTCTGGGCATTTTTTCTGGCTGTCCCCCATGCCTGGAATGCTCTGCCTCCTTATCTCTGGCTCCTGGCTTCCCTTGGGTCCTAGCTAAAAATCCCACCTTCTACAGGAAGCCATTCCCAACCCCTCTTAATTCTAGTGCCTTCCATTTAAAAAAAAATTTCGTATTTATCCTGTACATAGCTTGTCTGTATTTATTTGTTTGTTTTCTGTCTCCTCTTTTAGACTGTGAACTATTTGGGGCAGGAACTGTTTTCTGTCTCCTGTATCCCCACAGCTTAACACAGTGTCTGGTGCTTACTAAATGTTTAGTGACTGAGTATGAATCTGAAAAAATGACAGAATTGGAACCTAAGGTCCCTGCCAGCTGCAGCCATCACTAATGATGCTGGGGTCCCATGTTATCAATGTATGATAGGAGGATGATGAAGAGTTTAATCTTTAAGGTCTCCCAGGTATTTTTTCCTGAGACACTGGGCATGTCATATTTCTTCTCTGAGCCTCTGTGTCATCTCTAAAATGGGGGTAGAAATACTTACACAGGTGGTTGTGAAGAAAGTGCTTTGTAAACATTAAAGCCTTAGAGAAGTAAACTGTTGTTAAAGTAAAGTCCTCCTCAGCTCTTGCAGTCTACGGCCTTAGAATGTTTTAGGTACCCCAATGGGCCAGGACAAAGGCAAGGACAGTGCCCTGGGCAGGGGACCGAATGGGAGACTGAGACCTCAAGCTCTTTTCCTTTTTCACCTGCTACCTGGGGTGAGCACTGGAACTCCTAGGCCTTGGGACTGGAAGTTACAGAGTGAGAGATTTGGATTCCAAAAACACACGACCAGGAGAGCTGTCCCATGGTGGAGTTGGCTGCTTCAGAAGGAAGTGACTCCCCTATTGCTGGAGGTCTTTCTTTGAGCAAAGGCTTGTTAACCACCTGCTGTGTGGAGCAGGTCCTTGTTCAGGTCTGGGTTGGGCTAGATGCCACTGAGGTCTCTGTGAGCTTCTGGGATCCAGGGATGAAGAACACTACAGGGTCACTCCCTGGGGATTTGATGGACAAAGCTCAAACTAAGCATTTTGTGCGCAGAGTGCCCATCTGCTCTGCATCCTTTTAATGGCTCCCTCTCCACCCAGGCTAGCCAAATTAGGGGATGGTTCAGACAAGTGCTGCCTGGTGGCCTCATGGTCAGTCAGGACCCTGTCTGCTGTGCCACCCATGGCGTGACAATTATCAAGGGACACAGAATCTTGGAAGGAGCAAGAACCATCTTCTTGCCCAAACTATTCCCGAATAAGATTCCCCTCACAATATCCCCACTATGTGGGGTTGACCATCCTTTGCTTGAAAACCTCAAGGGGGAAGGTTGGAAGGCAGGAAAGGGAGGAAATTTCCTACCTTCCAAAGTCACCTGTTCCACGATTGGAAAATTCTCTTTCTCAGGAAATTCTTCCTGGCGCCAACCAGAAATCTGCCACTCGCCTCAACTGGTTTTGCCCTCTGGGGCCAAACTGAGCACATTTCATCGCTTCCACGTGATTACCCCTTCAAATACTTGAAGGCAGCTCTCCTGTCTCCTCAGGGTCTCCTCTCCAGGCTTGGCAGCCCTCATCCATTCCTTTAGTCTTCACGCAGCGTGACCTCAACCTTCCAGCTGTGGGCTCGCCATAATGCAGCCTTTCCTCACTAAGGTTCAGCCAGAGTAACAGGTCCTGGAAAAAGGATGCAGCAACACACGGCGCCACTGGATTGGGGAAGGGGGCTTTCTGTTAATAGTGTTGGGCCTCCATTTAAAATTGATGTTCTTTGGAAAGAGGGGTGACGGCTCCCCTGGCCTTCAGATCTGGCCAAACTCTTAGAATGTAGAAGTGTGGCATCATCCCCAACCTTCAGAGTAGCCGGGGTACACGTCTGGAGAATGACTCAGAGGAAGATAATGATATGACTTAATTAGACTGGAATTAGAAGGTCTTTCAAAGACTCGAAAACCTTCAGAGGGTGCTGCTTCTGGCCCTTCCTTAGTAGGCAGAGCAATAATGCTCCTTTGCAAAATCTCTGAGGGTCCTCACTAGTGGGCTGAAGAACAATTCATACTACAATATCAATATTATAAAAATGAACCATTTCGAGGACTTTTAAAAACAGATGAAGAATGAAATGAGCAGAGCCAAGAGAACGATTTATATAATAACATCACTGTGAAAACAAACAACTTTAAAAGTTATAAGAACTATGATCGATACAATGACTGTTCATGATTCCAGAGGACGGAGGATGAAACATGCTATCCATTACAGAGATGTGACAGAATTAGGGTGTAGAATGAGACATGTGTGTATTTTTGTGTACAGCCATTGAGGGAATTTGTTTTGCTCGACTATTCATATTTGTTACAAAGAATTCGTTTTTTCTTTTTCCAGTGGGGAGGGGGAGTAGGAGAGAAAATAAATTTGTTAATAAAAAAAAAAACAGAGAAATGTGTGTGTGGGCGCTGAATGTTGTCTGCACTTTCAGATGAAGTCACTGTATTATTAGCTTTACTTAATTGTTTTGTTACAAGACACTCTCTTAAGGAGTGGGAGTAGTCTGTAAATGTTTGTAATGTAAATTACAGTGGCTCACTCTCACTTTCAAGATCAAATGTAAAATCCTCGGACAGGCGTTCAAAATCCTCCAGAACTTGCCCTCCCCATCTTCTTCCACCTTATTCCCTGCACCTACTCTAGGAGCCAGTGAAAGTGTCCTTTTTGATCTTCTTTGAACAAGACACCGAATTTCCTGACTCTCACTGACTCCCATTCTCACTGGCTCTCCCCAGCACTTGGAATGCTCTTTCTCCACGTCCTGGGGTCTGTTAAGAAGCAGCTAAAATTCCACCTTCTACAGGAAGCCTCTCCCAATCCCCCCATATTCTAGTGCCTTCTGTTTGTCGATATTTCCAATTTATCCTGTACAGAATTTGTATATAGTTATCCCTTCCCTTAGATGGGGCGCTCCTTGAGAGCAGGGACTGTCTTTTGTCTTTTTTTGGATCCCTGAGCTTAGTACAATGCCTGGCATATAATAGATGCTTAATAAATGTTTATTGATTGAAATCAATGAAACTTGTTTTTTTTTTGAAAGAGCAAGTGGCTCGGTTTCTGCTTGGAGCTAAGAGGCACGTACAGCTTAGTATCAAGGTAGTCCCAACTGGTTCCAGGAGTGGTAATCAATCTCCATCCTATTATAGGAATGCTTGTGGGTCTTGCATCTTTAAGGCTATTGTTAATAATTATACTCTCAATTTATAGAAATTGTTGATGATTTGCACATTTTTCCTGGGCTTGTTTCCATCCTAAGGCCAGAAACTTGCTGGTTTTCATTAAATCTCTCCTTCTCCATAAAGCAAAACTGTGCTTATTTTGGGGGGTTCAGTCAACCAATCACTCTACTGTCTATTTCTTAGAAGATTCCAAATTGCTGGTTGGGGAGAATGGAGGCTAGCTGTACCCCAGAATCTGCTCTGAGGGGGGCATGATCATCTTAACACATCTGGCGGATGAGTAGAGGAGTTAAAAGAGGGAAATACCTTTTTGGTTGATGGATGGCAGTGCTCTCAAATGCTACATAGCAGTATTAGGCCTTGGCATGACCCCAAGACTGATCCACCCCTATGTGAGCTTCTGAGGTGCCTTCTGAAATAATGTGGAAAGCAGGAAGGCCTCCCTCTCCAGGTAAATTGTCATTTTACGTATATGTAACCAGGTGAATTGCTTGAAGAAATGTAAGATTACATAACAGTGATTTTAGAGTTCGGAGGGTCCTCAGAGATCCTTTAATTCAGCTCATATCTGAGGTAAGTGGCCACCCCACCTTCGTGTGAAGAGGGCTCACTACTTCCTGAGGCAGTCCATTCCAGTTGTGGGCAGTTCTCATTGTTGGGGTATTTTTCCTAAAATCAAACTGAAACCTGCCCAAGCAGAAAAAGTCACATTTGGATGGCAACCATGCCAATGCTTGAAGCCAGCTATCATGGTCCTGTTCCTGGCCCCCAGCCATGCGTCTCTTATTCACAACTTGAAGGCAACACTGGATACCAAGTTCAGGAATGTGCACGCTGTCCCCCTCTTTGGTCAGTGAGGAGGTGTGGGTGGGACCTGGGACACTCAGCTGATAGAAAGAGCAAGAGCTCTCATCATGTGGTCTCTTATTTCTGCCTTGATAATAATGACAGCTAACATTCAGCTGGGGCTTACTATGTGCCAGGTACTGTGCTAAGTGCTACAATTGTTACTTCTTTTGATCCTGGGAGGTAGGTGCTATTATTATCCCCATTTTACAAATGGATAAATTGAGGCAAAATGGGGTGAACTGACCTACCCAGAGGCACACAGCTAGGAAGCGTCTGAGGCTGGATGTGAATCTGGGTCTTCCTCACTCCAGGACTGGTGGTCTATCCGCTGCACCCCCTAGCTAAGCCCCAGCTTCCTTTGAGGTTTGGCTTCAATGCAATCCTTTACATGGGCCTTTCCTCATTCTCTCCCCACCACACTATTTCACATCTATTCTGCATTTACTTTTCTGTGTACCCGTCTGTTTCCCTCAATAGAGTGTAAGATCCTGGAGGGCCGGGATTGCTTCACTTTTGTCTCTATATTCCTATGCTGGGTATTATGTGCATAATCAACATCTTGCTCAAACAATGAATGACTAAAAACTGTGCTTTGGGGAGAACTCCTGTATTCTTGCAGACGTTACTTGCCTGGTGCCCCGCCAGGACGGGAGGAATCGCACCACGGTTTAGGCGTAGTAGGTAAAGCACATTTTAGTTGCGACTTCAGTGTAACTGCAAATTTATTTTATGTTTCTAATGTCACCGAAAAGGTACAATTTAGGAACACCAAAGTCCCATTCTGCTACATTAAAAAACATAGTTCCATAAAAAAAAACGCCCTCATTCAACTGCAAGTGTGGATAAATACAATACAGATGATGAAATGTTGGGGTTTTACATCATATCTAACGGTGACTTAGCACAGCAATGCTGCAAGCCAGAAGCTTCCAGAAACATTCCACCTTCCAAGGGTCAACGGACAGAATGAAAACTCTGCTAGGAGGTCCCAGGCATGGACAACAACTCTTTACACTCTAATACAAAAGCAGTGATCGCATTAAGGATATGCTGTGAACACAAGGGAACTGACAGAAGCAGGGAAGCTGAGATCCACGCTGGAGCCACACTGCAGCCGACGGAGGGAGAGGAGTACCCAATGTGTCAGTCCAAATGAGAAGGGGCAGACTGGCCCCACCAACCAGGTGATGGTGGACAGACCTCTCGAGCTGAAGGGCAGAAGAGAATAATGCTATGTTCTACATTGTAAGCCAGTCACCTTGTGTCTTTTGGAAGTGGAAAACCCTTGGTCTAGGCAGGCAGGAGAAGGGTCAGCAGCGAAATGCTTCAGGTCCCTGTTTGTATTGCAACTGCCCTTCTTCTGGCCAGGTTTTCAGCTGGCAGTGGGGTGTGGTTTCTCTATCTACGTGGCCAGAGCAGGGGGGCTGTGAAAGGTGGGTCCCAGGTGAGAAACCTCTTTGGAGGCCTGCAAGAAAGACTCATGTCTTGTCTCTGCCAACACGTGCCTCGGTGGCTGAGGGCGAAGACCCAGACTTCAATGACTGCTTGTGTTTGGGGTTACAAATAAAGATCCAGGTGAGGCCTGGACAGGCAGCGGCAGCCTAAAGGTGGACAGTTTTCTTTGGAGTTGAGAATATTCAAATCAGGACCTTGACTATCATGAGTTACATAAAAACAGGTGTGGAAAGGTATTCCGGGATTAAGAAAAAGTTGGACTCACAGTAGATGCTTAGAGAGTGCATTCAATTCACTAACCCCTTAAGCCTGCTGATTAAATAAAATACGTCAGAACTGTTTGTCCGCAGGTTCAAACAATGAGTGTCTTCTGAGCTGAGCTGATTCAGGTAAAGAAGAGGAGACATTTTGCTTATGCCAGGTATCAGAAGCAATGCATTTCAGATGCCAGGACCAACTTCTTTTACTTGCAAGTGGGAATCCACTGTTTGACTGATACTCAAATGTCGAGTGGAATGAAGTCAAGACTTCCTTGTCACACTGTGTGTACACTAAGGCTGTGTGTGCACGCCGTTTGCTGGTGACACAAACAAAGTACATCTGAACCCAGAAGCAAGCAGGTTCAGATGGGTGGTGAAGTGAAGGAAGAAAATAAAAATGAGGGGAGGGGGAAGGGAGGCTGGGACAACCACGTCCATCCATGGTGAGCACACCGAAGGCTTGCGCCTTGTATTCAGGAGGTCCAACCCCAGACGCCTCCTGGATTGGCAGGTGCTAGGGGGATGGGCACAGGCTGCCTTCTCAGAGTACTTAAATATTCACATCATGCACAATTGTGGCAGGTTCACACACTGCAACATAATGGAAGATACTTTCTACACTGAATCAGGAGCAGGGTCCAAAGCGGAGCTGGAAAATAAATATCTTGCATATATCTCAAACTCTATTCTTCAAACAAAACCTTACACCTCATCAAGGAAGTCAGAAAAAGGCCTGAGGGAAGTCCAGTGCCTTCATCTACAACACTGTTTCATCTCTGAGGCTGAGAACAGAACATCCCATGGAGATCTCTGGTGGAGGTGGGTGGGTACTGTTCTCTCTTGCCTCCTTAACTGAAGTGACAAAGTCAGAATTCAGACCTGGAGATGAAGTCAGGCGCACGGGTTAGGCAGGGTTCGGTTAGAGGCCTGGCTCGATGAGGCGTGTCAGATACAGCATCCTACATGGCAAGAGGGAAGATGGCCTCATCGGAGACTTCATGGGGTCTGGCCAGGGGCAGGGGAGGGTCAGAAGCATCAGAATTCTACTAACAATCACTCACATGGGAATGGTGCATTAATCCTAGGACAAATGCTGCAGAGGCGGGGCTGGGACAGTGTTCATGGTAGAACATTCTCCTCTGCTTGTGCAGCCAGGGCTGAAAACATATACTCATGGATGGGAAACTTTACGTAGCTACGTTTATTATTCTCTCCAAGATTCTTGCAAGAGGCAGAGATGTGAGACACTGAGTGGAGTTGGGTGAAAGGGTAGGGCGGTTTGGAGAAGAGAAGCATTTCTCTTGACTTGGGGCCGCGATTCTGGCAAGGAACGGCCAGTCTGATGGTCACCTTCCTGTTACTCTTTTGCTTCCAGGAAAAGGGTTTCTTGAGGAAATAGCTTTACCTCCAGTAATGACTTGTTGGGATCCAGCTGGGTGACCTGAAATGAGAGAAAGCCCATGTTAAGAGGGTGACAGAACACAAGTTGACATTTCTATCACACTTACAGACTTATAATGTACTCTTCTGCACCCTTACCTCCCTGTGAGGTAAAAGCTGCTATCTCTGCTTTACAGAGGAGGAAATGGAGGCTCAGAGAGGGCAAATGGGTGGCACAGGATGTGTCACTCAGCTGTGAGGGGACAAAGCCAGGGTTTGAATCTGTGCGGTACCAAAGTAGCACTTCCTGGCCCTTTTACATGATGCGTGTGCAGTACCATCCTTACAGGCATGGCTAGGTACCCCCTGGCAAGGTTCCTCCTGGGGCCGTCTAACAGCTGGGTCTGCAGAGCAAGTCTCATCAATACAGTATTTCCCCCATGGGAATTCTGTCCTCCTGCCCTGGCTGGCTCAACTCTCCCCACCAAAACCCAGAGCTCCCCAGAGTGTCCTCCCCCAAGGCCCTCCCCCTTGATCTGAAGGAGACGACACATCCCACCTCTCCCCCCACCCGGGGAAATACAGAAACTCATATTGATGACAAAGGTCTTCCCAATGCCCCAGGCCCAGACCAAGGTCACCTGCTAAATACTGCACTCAGCCTTGGCAGACCCACAGTGGGTTTGGTCTACTACCCATGCTCACATGTGACACTGGGTGTGACCACTGCCTAGCCTGGAGTGTAGATCCCTGACAGGTGCTCAGCTGTCTGCATCCCCTGGGCCAGCCATTCCCTTCTCCTGCATGGGGCTAGGACTATATCAAGAACCATCTGCTCCACACTGCTGAACCCATCTCTCCCACAGCATCTCTGTTTCCATTAAAGTAGCACGGGGCCACCTTAGCTCCTCTGGCTGTTGGGTAACATCCTGTCCAAGATATCTGGCCTGGTGTTCAGGAACCTCCTCAGTTTGGAGCCACCAGAGCTGCAGCCTTGTCTCATTCTGCCCCCTCCGCTGCTCCCCAGCCCCTGGACCTTCCTTATGCTGGCCTCTCTGAACGCCTCTCCTTGGGAAGCCATGCCCTCCATGCCCTCTCTCCACCGAATTTCCAGCTGCCCTTTAAGCCATCTTTTCACTCAGACCTCACAGAACACTTCAGACCTCTCTAATGAACTTGCGAATTGTTTTTGTGTATCACAGTTAACCATGTCTGTGTTGTCTTCACCTACAGACTGTCAGTGTCAAGAGGGCAAACAACTTTTGCATAAAGTATGTGCGGAACAGTCATGGCCAATAAGGCTGAATAACAGTGTGGGATCCGGTCATAGAGAGTCCAAAATGCCAGACCAAGGAGTTTGGACTTTCTCCTGTGGATGAGGACATGAAGGTTTCTGAGCAGAGGCCTGGCATAATGGGCTTGGTATACTGGAGTAAGGACAGGATCTGCGCTCTCACTGGTCTAGAGGAACCCCCCACAACTAATGCATGTTGACCCCTCTGCAGCTCGTAGTCAGACAGTTGTCTAGAGCACTAAGAGATCAACTGCTTTGTCCAGAGTCATAGCGATGTGGAACTTGAACCAGGTCTTCTTGACTCCAAGGCCATTTCCTTGTTGACCACACCATGCTACCTCTACTGCCAGGATAAGCAGGACTGGGTAATGGGGAGAGGGAAGAGACTTACGATGAGGGGATCTATTTAAGAGAAAACCAAGAGACTAATGATAACACTTGCTCTTGGGTACCAAATGATCTCATTGCTTCAGAGTTCCCATCGGTCCCACTTTTTAAAGGGCTGTAGAATGCAAGTGGTGTTGGGTTGGTCATGCAGCAAAACAGAGGACGAGATCATAATCCTGGGTATTTCCCTGGGATCTGTGAGACCCAAAAGAAGTCAGAGGAAAGCTTTTGGCTGCTGGGTGGCCCGTCACTGAAGGATTAATACAAAGACATGGACAAGACTTTCATAGGCTGATAAAATGGGAAGAGGTTATCATCTGTTCAATGCTTTTATCAGTGATTTGGAGGCAAGTATAAACAGCTTACTCATCAACTCTGCAGACGAAAGGAAGCTGGGAGGGACAGCTAACACGTCGGATGCCACGAGTCAGGATCCACAGCTATGTGACAATGATGGCTCAAATTCAATAAGATGGAGTTTCCTCAATGCACTTGATGCTGTACAGAAGATGACATCTTATTTCTCCGGGTACTTCTTCTATCAGAGGAGATCACAAGGCACCCATGGCTTCTTCTCCTGGGACGGTCTCATCTCTTCTTCCATTGGTGAACTCCTCACAGGGACAGGGCTCTGGCCAGTCAACCTTCATTGCCCTCCTGGCTCCGCTTCTGACTTTCTGTACTTTCACACCACATTCTTGCTTTGGTATCTCCTCCTTCCCCCTGGCTTTTTGGCTCTGAGGGCAGGGACTGTCTTTGTGCTCCTATCTGTATCCCCAAGCCTAGCACAGGGCCTGGCACAAGCTGGTGTTTAGTA